ACGGACAGACGGACAGACGGACGGACAGACAGACATGGCTTAATCGATTTCTTTTTTCATCCTGATCATTTATGTATACATTTGTCTATATCTATCTCGATTCGTTTTGGCTGTTACAAACAACCGTTATGTGAACAAAATTAATATACCCTTGTGCACAAGTGCGCTCGGGTATAAAAATAAACATTAAGCTTGGAAATTTCATGTAGTCAAAAACAGCAGAACTGCAGCAACGAAAAAGCTATGCGCATAAAAACTGAAAAGTCATAAGAAGAGGAAATGAAAATTCCATTAGCTAAGTCCAGTTTGTTTATGTTTTTTTTCAAACTAGAATGAATGGTCAGACAGTACAGTTGGAATAACAATTGAGTAGCAAAGTGTGCAAAACAAAACTAATTCGGAGAGAAGTGAAAAGCAATCATGGAAAAACAAAAAACAAAAAAAAAACTAGAAATGACTGTTGAAGTAAATAAATTTAAGCTGCCATCAAATTGCTGTCAACGACTTAACCTGGAATTGCAGTTAAGCAAGAAAATTTATTTGAGAGTGTACATACAGTAATGCATATGTACATTAGGATGCCTCACATTCCATAAAAAGGAAAATCTCACAGGCGTTGCTAGTGACCTTATACCATTATTAAAAAAAATGTTTTTTTTTTCACTACTCTAGGGACACCCTTTTCATCCTATTATATAAGGTGTTTGGCAGACGGTTGAGCATACGAAACTGTAACGAAATTTGACTTTTCCACAAACGATAAAACTATCGAAATTTGTTTCTTATATTTGTCTAAAATAATGGTCAAATCCTGATAATAATGTCAGCATGGAAATCCAATGCAGAACTGATCTTGCCAACAAGTGAGGCGGTTCTTGGAGTATTGGAAAAAAAGCGTTGTGGAGGATTTACGAGCCTCTACACGTTGGCGACGGCGAGTACCGCAGCCGATGGAACGGTGAGTTGTATTAGCTTTACACGGACATTCGATATTGTGCACCAAATTAAAATACAGCGGCTCGGCCATGTCGTTGAAACTATTCAAAGTAGAATAATCAAAATTTCTTTTGAAGCAAATCGAGTTATTCTTTACTTTTAACTAGCCGGATATTTTTTACAATCCTGGTTTTACGGAAAGTACATCGCTTACGGATGATCGGCCGCTGTGGTGTAGTCGTAAGCAGTGCGCGCTTCCAATCCCCAACGCCGCAAAAAAAAAATATAGAAAAAAGGTTTTTTCTTAACAGCGGTCGTCCCTCGGCAGGCAACGGCAAACCTCCGAGTGTATTTCTGCCATGAAAAACAGCTTCTCATAAAAATAAGTTCGCCGTTCGGACTCGGCGTCAAACTGTAGGTCCCTGTAACTGTAGGAAAACTTGGCAAATCCTTCAAAGTTAAAAATTAAACTAAAATCTATACTAATATATATTTCGAAAGCCGTTTTTTAGTGACCGCAAAGCTCGAGAACGGCTGAACCGATTTTTGATGGTTATAGGCTAACACAAATTCGGTATATAAAGGGGCGTGGCACCTCCCATACACTGAGGGAAATAATGCATAGTAAAAATGAATACTTTATATTTGATTATCGTTTAAAAATGTTCGTATTTAAAAGTAATATTTTCATACAAAATTTATTACGCACGTATTTGACTGTTCACATCTGAGTATGTATATGTAAGTGTACATACGCACCCCAAGCATGCAGAGCGCCGCTCTGGGAGCGGTGGAAACACACACATCCATACATAGTACATACATGTTTATCCGTACAAATCGCGTGCTGTGGTGTTGATGGATATTCAACATTTGAAAGCAAATTTATATGCCTGGGTGTAGCTGAGTGCGCAAAGATGCAAAGATTAGTTTTAGTCTTGATTATTCACTTCACGGATGCTTTTTTAGTACGAACGCGGTCATTTTAATATGTGCGTAATTGAATTGAATATTTACCAATATACAGTACTCTCGTTGATGTTTATAGTAAGATCAATTACGTTTCTATTTGATTTTAATATTTTTTTCGCTCAGTGTACAAATCGAATTTCTCACACCGCATATCTCTGGAAGGGTT